TCCTCCCCCCCCCCCCCCCGCCCTTTTTTTTATCTCCAGCACTCGCGAGTTGCACTCGGCTAGAGTAAGTTTACATTATTTATCAGGCGCACAAGCGCGAATATGTAGACGCGGGCGGACTCTTGTGCATATAGGTCAAGCTCGCGTTCTCGCTCCGTTCGGAGGAAAGGGCGACGCCATTGTGTGCGCGCGGGGGTGAGTTTAAATGTTTATCCCGCGGATACTCGTTGGCCAGCGGCAGATCAAAATATTACAAATGCAAAACTTGCCGAGTTTCGTAATATGGCATCTCAACGCGCTCCCTTCCCTCTTAACATTTCAATACTCAATTCTAAGCCTTACGCGCGCGCGGTAATTTATCGCCTTCCGATCGTCATTAAATTCACATCGACCGAGATTTTCTCGCCATCGCAGAATGCGGTACACAACCGAAACGATCCGCTTACAGTACCACGGCGAAACATAAATAACGGCAGCAGCTCAATGGCAATTGCACCGACTCAATATAGAGAGACGTACGCGGAGGTGCGAGACGTCCAAATGCGGGTATATACAGGCATGGCAGTTAGTTACGCGAGGGTGCTGTTGAACAAACATTGTGGCTAACGTTGCGCCTGCAGCATGTGTTCACAACCGTACCCCGATGCACATCAGTGCACTTTTTCTCTCATTTACAAATGCAATCGGAATGCCTCGTAAATACAAAGGGAAATCGTTTGTTGTTTGTATTTTACAACAGTGTAAATAACCTGCTACACGCGCACGTGTGTGTTGCGTGATCTACGCGAGTGAACATGTAACCGAATTACGATCATCAAGGTGGATAGGTGACGTTGATAATTTGACGCTAGAAGCTCTCTCTCTCTCTCTCTCTCTCTCTCTCGCTCTTCCCCCTTAGGCCACTAGGGCGATAGCTGACTAGCGCTGCGTGTACCATCCCTTCGCTGATTGCACCGCAATTACCTGTAACTTGACCTGCCTGTCTCTCTCTTACTCTCTCGTGTAAATGCACGTTTGTATTTTACTCGTGAATCTTTTTTTAAACAATTTGCTTGTTGTTAATGTGGTTGTGGAGTATCGATTTTTTATTCTTAAAAATGACCTACGGTTGATTTCTTTTTTTGGAGTTCATTTTTCAGATTCATTAGTGACTGCATGAAAATTTAAATTTACTATATTACATACTGAAAAGAATTTGAAAACAGAGTCATACTACGATTCATTAAAGATGTTTTAGGTTGATGTGTCGATTTTCGAATATACGCATTGCATTCTGCAGAGCATCAAAACATGTACATGTACAAAACTGATAGTAGTTATGAATTGAATACTCTTCACAATTTTTCCAAGATTCTCTTCAATTCTATAGCCGAATAATAATAATCGAGAAACGAACAGAAAGAATGGGGGGGGGGGGGGGGGATGAAAATATAACGCATTCGGCCAATCGTAGAAACGATAGTCGGTCGGAGCACTGCGGATTACTGCTACTGAATATCCGCTGCGGGACATTAAATAAACGCGTTATTGTTAACGACGCCAAATAGGTATGACTGCTGCGCGCGCTCGTGAGCTGAGTAGATTAAAAGTGCCTGGACTGGAAATAGCCTTGCGCGCGGCGGCCATCACGTTACCAGCAGTAGCGTTTTGCTAAAGTGGCTTTTATTAGAAGATATTAAATACTTTTACGACTCGTCATTGAGTGAAATTGGTTACGCCGGGTTACACGATTATTGGATACGCGTGCTAGACACAAATATATTCGATACCATACAACTAAATAGTCAATTGATATCTCTATATTCTACGCCGTTGTGTGTACACTGTTATAGTAGTGGCAATGTCCTATATGTACATTTCAGAAACTTATGTTGAATGTTCAGTTAGACTATGAACAATTAAGCTACAATTAACTACAACGTGTAATTACTATAATAATCGTAACTGAAATTAAAGCTAAATATCCAAGTTTCGCAAGATACTTTCAAAGGATTAGTTAATTGATTTCCATGGTTGGTTAGTTTTGTTATCATTTAACTTCAAGAATGATTTGATAATTTAATATATTTAAATTTCAGTAGCAAGTAAACTTTCCTAGATCTCTTATTGTGTATTTTGTTTGCACTAAACATGTACATCAGAAAAATTTTCCCATGAAAATTATCAAAAGAGGTTGTAAAAGCTACTGTTTTAAACGACACAGCATCTCAAATGCTGTAGTACCAAATAAACCCTCCTGCAAAACCAACTCCCTCGTATGTGCATTTACATATTCAGCAAATATTCAACAACAACGCAAGCACAACAAACAGCCGTACCGAGAGAGATAGGCCAGTGGCTACACATTTCGCAAGCGCGCTTGCAGACTTGTAACGACGAAATCGCACGCAACGAGATTATGGTAATTGACTGTGCTCTCTGTGCGACTTTGGGAAAGGCGCGGCTGCTATAGCCGCATACTCTCGACGCGCGTATATCAATTACCCACAGTGTCCCTCTTTGATCCAACCAAACTGTAACGCAATTCGCATGCAGCCCTCCCATATAGCTTTTCACCCATCTCGAACGGCTAATCTCCAAATGGGATTCACCCGACGGATGCAAGTCGAATGGCGGAAGGCGTCGTTTCAATTGAAATGGAGCTTTTTTTATAGAGGTGCCGCTCGGCAAAGCGTGAAAAATTGTATGGCCTTCGCTGCTTCTGTTACTGCTGCTGTATGGTGGTTGTGTGTGTGCGGGAGAGATTTTTTTTTAAGGGATAGGGGAAGTTTCGGTATTTTTTTTTTATTCTAGTAGAGTACGAATGGTAGTTGCACGATGAATGGCATGTTAGTTTTTGTAAGTTGATTTACATTCTGAGAGTGAAAAACAACCGTCAAAACCTCGATGACGGTAAAAAATCGATATCAAACTCCGATACCATTTTTCGGCTTTCCAAGTATTAGACTGCAAATCACAAACAAATGAGTATAAAAATGTACGAGTATCAATGTTAATCGATAAAATTTTGATTAGTTTGTCAATTGACATTCATGCTACATATCTGTTTCCTGAACAAATTTACGTTGAATACGAAATTCAACTAACACAATTTAAGGCGTTGCTTATATTGCACAAATTATCTTGATGACTAGCTGCATATCAGAATAGCATATCTGTATAATTAACCAAGAAATATCCAATGTGATAAAACTGTTAGAGCGTGAATTACACTTATCATTCTCATAGAATGTAATTTCATTATTACATTTAGTTAGTCGCAAACATAATTTCCGCATCAAGTTTTGCGAAGCAATTCTCTTAAACAGCTTCCAAATCTTTTCCTTTTTTCCCTCCCGGTGGACGGTTGTGCACGAGCGTCTAACTGAATTTTATTTATGTAAAGACATTAAAAGCCCAAATCCGCTTTCTCTCTCTCTCTCTCTTTCTCTCTCCCCAGGAAGGCAATCCGTGAAAGTCGATTGAATCCCTCAGATGTCGAATTCGCATTTACTTTTAAAACGATTCTTTAACGCAAAAAATTGAGTTTCTAAGATTATGTTAGCTTTTGGAAGAAACGGTTAATTGGAAAATTAAAATTGGTTTTTGCTAAATGCAAACTTTATATTTCTTTGAGTCCTCTTTCACTAATATTGATCGCTTGTTTAATCGAAATTAGGATTTGAAAAATAAAGCAACAAACAACACCGTTAAAAGTTCGAATCAACCAATTAAACTCAAAAAAGGTCAACATTGTTGCAACATACAATGTAATGCGTGTATTGCATTATTGAAATACATGTGTTTAAGTCAAGATTGAAGCAAACGTGAAACCATCGACCAGAGTTTATTTACTCATGTCGAAGCGGCTACTTTTATCGCAGTGAATTCCGCGTCCTTCAAAGATGGCACGTACACGATAAGCAGATATAGACATATCCATTTCGAGATTCTCAAGCCTGATAATCGCCAATATCTCAGCGCGTACGTTCTTCGATATAGCCCAGAAACACGTTTCCCTCATTCTCTCTCTCTCCCTCTCTCTTCCATTCTTCGATCTTCCACGTCCACCCTATAGTATCGATCGATGAAGACATTGACAATCCAAGATGAGATAAACCGGCAACTTGAACTGTCTGTCACCGGGTACGAATTCCAAAAGTTACTGCCACGTCTATTATGTGTAATACTTACTTGCCTGTTCATTTTATTATCGTGAGAATTGGACAAACGAAAATGAGCACTTTTTATTTTACGTCATATTTTCAAATATTTTTCTGCTACTTGTCGACTTTAATTGAGTTGTATAATGTCATAAATACAAAATAATATTGTGTTAAACGTATATTGTTCTCTTTTTATTGATAAAGAGCCAAAAACAGATTCTCATCTCTTTTCTGCATAAAACTATTTATGTTTATATAATAATTTTAGTAAAACTGATTGCAGTACATACGTACGGTAATAATAAGACTGATTTAAATAAACTAGTTTTATAGTTTTCCTAATTCCATGATATAAAAGTCGATAAATATATCTTAAAAATGATATGAATCGAAGTAGTAATTACATTATTTAAACTAAAAATACTTCTTTATATTTCTTAATTTTTTTAGTAAGACGTCTAATAACTCTGATTTTATTTTAGAAAAAAATAAATGTTTATACATTTGTAAAATAAATGGGTATTACGTCAATATTATAGTCAGCATTTGTCTTTTTAATGACAATATATTTTATAATTGTAGTTACATAATTGAAAGAAGAACACATAATAACAATGGTAAATGAGAGTGTCAATTATAGATTTTTTATTTATTTAAATCGATATTAATCTTCCGAAATTAGTGGTCAATTTTAATTAACCAATTAATTTCGCGAAAGAATCGAATAAAAATTGTTAATTTGTCGTAGAACCCCACACAATGTCAATAATACCTTATCACAATTAAAATACAGCGAACGTCATATAAAAGAATTGTCAGTAGCTCTCGGTTTTCTTACCGTAATAGTGCCTCGATATGGCGCGTTACGCTTTACTGTTTTTCTGCCTCGTCGGCCTAGCGACGGCTGTAGACCTCGATACAAGTAAGCACAATTAATATGTCATATCATCATACTATAATATAGATAATGCTAGTTTTCGGTTACCAAAATATTATACTTATTTTTAAATCGAATTGATGTTACTTTTAAAAAGTTTCCTCGATTCTATAGATCACGTTTATTACGTGAATAACAACAGAAAATAATTAATCCGTAAATTAGCGTTAATTATCAATATATCTTTCATGAGTACCTTTGAAATTGATTTCTCAAAGTATCCATTTCATTTTAAACACATTATAAAGTACAATGAAAAGTTTTCATAATAAGGAGTGAAGGTTATATAAAATTCTTTCACCTCTATATCCTTTCAAGCAAATTTAATTAAAAAATAAAAAGAAATAAATATACCAACGTTTCGGTGACGTTTCGGAATCACTTTTGTCAACGCTAGAAAAACATACAGATTTGTACAATGTTTGCAATATTCGAAAATAAAATTACAATGCCAAAATACAACAAAATGTAAGCAATAATCTGTAAATATTACCTATTAAAAAGACGAATTACATTATTTGACTATTTCAAAATTATTGTTTCAGAATAACGCATAAATATTAGAAGCATATCAAACAGACAAGACTTAATTCTAATTTCAGATGAATCAAAACTTTATATCGGATGTTAACTATTATTTCGGAAGATATTTTCTCTGACGTTGTGTTCACTTAGTTAAGAACGAATAAAGAGAGTCTAGGACGGTACAGGAAGTATTTTATGAAAAGAAAAATAAAAAGGGTAGAAAAAAAGGACAAAATTAGGGAATATGTAAGATATTAAAAAAGGCACAGAGTGCAAATCGAACGACAAACTAAATTAACATGACCTTGCAAGAAAAGTGTCATGTAAAATTATTAGGCACAGTGTATACCTCCTCCTTGACTAACATATCAGCCTGTTATCTCTATTTGTTAAATGAACGTAAATTGTAATGGTGTGTCAGTTTAGATACATAATTATTTTTGGTACAAATAGCGTCAATTGAAAATTTATATTCGCTCTTAAGCTTAATAGTATCGGTTTATATTGCTATATTGTTTATATTATTTTTAGTGTTATATATATATGCAACATATCGGCAAATTGACTCTATGTATTGTTTTGTGTCGATAATTATAGTTTTATTAAAATCAGTACTATATTTATACAAATTTGAATGTTCAGTTAAAACCGACGTAGCATCATTACTTTTAACACAATATTTATGTTCGTTTATTCGTATTCCCCGTTGTTAACCTGTTTGATTAATATAAGACATGTTGCAATCAGAGCAATCAATTTTAAATACTATACTAGTTTTTTCAGTTTTTGTACTGTGTCCTTGCCCAACTGTTTAATTTATTGATAAGCTTGTCAACCACTCTAAAGTTATTTCGTGCGATAATCAGTTCCAATTAAAAACTTAAATCTTTTAACCTTTATGGCATTAGCGCTGTGTTGTGATAAATTGACAGCTCTATATATTAGACCGTAAAGAAGTGGATGTTCTTGTGTGATAATGGATGATATGAGAAAAGTGAACAAATCTACTTGAGTAGGTATCTTTTTAATTATATTTAGAAATGATCAAATTATGTTCGCTTATGCATGAGACTTCTAAATATAATTAATAGTTGAATGAGCTTTTCTTTCCATCGTGAACTGAAGATTATTAACATAATTATAGAAAATTTGCAGACATCTATCCACCTCATTCTTATTAACGACCAATAAATAATTATCTACGTACGTAAATTACTTTAGTATGCGTAAGAATAATGTTACTTAATTGGATGAAGTTTTTCTTTCCCGAGTAGTTGCTGTTATTTTTAATGTAACGGAGAATTGAAGAGATGCATGTATTGTTATTTCGTATCAGTTTGAGTAGTCCAAAGATTAATTGTGCCTTGTTAGTGAGTTAGTAACCACTGATATTTTGTAAAATCTTTATTGTCGTTCGTAACCGGTGATTGAATTTTATTCTTGTCTCGTATGTTCAACATATCGATATTTTTTGTTATTTGAAAAGGTCTACACGTGAAAAAATTTTATTTGATTAATCTTCACTTTTTATTATGAAAGTATTTTATGAGCAAGTTGCTCGAAAAATCTATAAATATAATAATGAATAATTTATTCATGAAGCAAACTAAAATAATTTGTTTTCTTGTTCGTAGAAAATCCAACAATCTACGTTGAACAGTCCAAAGATCTGGACATCGGAAAGTATGAAAATGACAATCAGGATAGTATTACTAGATGCGATTTACAATTGACGAATGGAACCGTTATCAACCTATATCCAAAAGATACAAATTACAATGCAAAATACAGCATAAAATCAGACGATGAAAAATGCATATCAAGTATTTACGAAGTGACTGAAGAAGATTCTGGAACCTATGCTATACTAACAACTATCAAAGGCCAAAACGTCGATAAATCCATTACCACCAAGTACAATGTTAAAGTTAGAGCCGTGCGTATACAATTATTATTATTTTTTCATTTATTAAATTAAACACTATCTTGTTATTAAGATCTTATAATAAAATAATTACATCTTAGAAATACGAAAAGAAAACAGCAGTTCCTTCAGATCGTTTTTTTGTCTACCCAAACCAACTGATATCGGTACGATTCAATGAGAACTTTCTCAATTTGAAATCTTGCATGCTCATAGATCCTACCGTAAGTATCAAAGAATGAGTTGCTTTTACAATCTTACAATTAATAAAGGTGTAAAACTAATATTGGTATACATTTTTCAAGAATATTGAATACGAACTTGATCGTCATTTACCTTACAACGTTAAAAAATTAGATCACTGTGGTTTTAAAATGGTAGCTAACAAAGAGTTCACAGGTAAGTGGACTTTGATCGCTGATTTAGATAATAACACAGCGTACTACATACCAATAACAGTGATTATTAGAGACATAAAAGAGCTAAACCCTGATCCAGTAAGTATTTTGAACAAATATGGAGTTACAAACGCCTGATATATTTCTACCATTTATGCTTCTTCTGTAGATCAATTTGAGATTTAAACGTGGCGATGAAGCATGCATTTCATTGACATTCAATAAATATCAGCCGAAAATGTGTTACCTAAAGGATCCACATGGTTTCGAGTATCTCATTCAAATTGGTTCATGCCATCTCGAGCTTGACTTTGCATCAGATTATCACAAAGGTGTTTGGAAAGCTTATTATGGATTTGAAGGCATGGAAACGCTGGTGGAACAGACAATTAACGTTGACGTTTATGGTAATAACCTGAATTTTTTTACCACATCAATTAAAACGATTACTAAAAATCTCATTTATTGCAGACGAACTCTATTTTAACAGTAGCGTGACTCGTTCACGCAATGGAGACATCAACCTACTTTGTCAAGTTAATGGACAGTCGTTCAAATATTGCAGTTTCGTCCGACCCGACGGTGAAATATTGCACATCACATTCGGTGTTGGAAACAAAAAGTACGTTAATACTGCTTAAAAAGCAAAGTGAAGCACTTTCATCAAATGAAATTATAAAAAAATTTACAGGTATGAATATTACGGTGACGGTAGCTATACCTATGAAGATACGTTATTATCGACAAAACAAAGAGTAGACTGCGGCATTACTATTCATAGTCCCAATGTTCAAGATTATGGCTCATGGAGGTGTTTGGTAAAACTCGACAATTATTATGGAAAAACTGTTGGAACGGTATTAAAAGTCGGTTCTGAAACGGTAGCAGTTCAATCAAAGTCGAAAACCAAAGCGGATGATGTTTACGTGAAACGTGGAGAATCATACAAGGTTAGCTAAAGAAAAAGTAAATCAAAATAAATATGAAAACACAGCAAATCGGAATTGTTAATATATGCCTTTATAGATCAAATGTACAGCTGAAGAGGTATTGAGTTACTGTTGGCTGCGCAGTCCTAACGGTACTATATATAGTGTATTACACAGCGAGAAACCAAAAGGACTAGCACTTAAGTACGTTGGTACTGGTCTCGAACTTGGCGACTGCACGGCGCTCGTCAGCGTCGCAAACGACACCGAAACCGGCAAGTGGACTTGTCACATGGGTATCACAAATGGACCCGAAATTGAAACGAGTTTGAACGTAATTGTTACCGGTAAGTTTAATATAAGTCGCAGTTTATATTGTTCTTAAGCTTAATATTTTTGAAAAATGCGATTCTTCATAAAATCAAGCGATGCGGTAGGGGATCGCATGCGTGTAAGCAAGAAGTAGCCACGAAACTGAGGCAAGGGTGACACTCGTAATTTCGGACTTATGAGAGTCACTTTATTTTTTTCTCATTTCCACGCATTTCTTATATCAATATTTTTATTAACTAAACTGGAAAGTTAGATTTTTACCTGTCATACAAAAAAAGTTTCAGTTTTGTTAATGTAGTTTCGAAAAAATTATTTGAGGTACAAAGTTTTCAAATATATATTTCAATTTTTTTAAGATCATCACGTCCCAATGTTTGGTTGCTAATCGGACAGGTGAACCTGATATGTTGTTTTATGAAGTCGTAAATTCGGGCTTCATATTCACAATTAAAGTCACTGTGTATTAATTGCTTACAGTAAAGCGATTGATTTAAAGACCGTCTCTAGGCACCTGCATCCAACTCACATGCCAATTTTCCCTTTCTTAACGCGCGCGCGCGCGCGTGTGTGTGTGTGTGTTTGTGTGTGTGTGTGTGTGTGTGTGTGTGTGTGTGTGTGTGTAGAAGGGGTGATTTTGATCAGTGTATAAGAATGATGAACATTAATAAACAAACATTCAAAATCTGTCACTCCGGCAAAGTTGCTATACTAATCTGTCATAGATATGTGCATATAAAAAGAATAGCTGATAAGCTTTTTTATACAATACGTAAATTATTTGATATTATACTGACAGGTGGTTAGTCGTATTGTGACCATAGGATAGCATTAATTGGCGTATTATAAGTAGAACACGTATTTCAGCGTATACTACAAATGCTTGAGTCAATAAATCTACATCGACAAAAACAGAAACAGATAATATTAAAAATGTCATAACTTGAATAATTTTCTCAAAACTAGATTAAATAGTGTTAGAAATGTAGATAGCAAACGTGTGCCATGAAAAGAGAGACGAATTTGGTCTAAAAAATTCGAGCAAGGACAACTTTGATGTGGTCCTCGAACCTGCTGACTAGTTGTAGCGCGCAGCAATGGCCACATGTAGGTTAATCCATTTTCTGTGGTCGGTCAGATCAAGAAGTATGAAAATTAGTTGATCAGATATATGTACGTCTAGACTCTGCTACTGTTCTTGACTAAGGTGAGATAGGTTTTTCGTATATTTGGTATAAGATTGTAAGCGCGATTAGTTATGTAACATTTTTTTGTTTGTTAATTTTTTTGTTTGTTAACGCGAAAACATTGTGCTTGTGGTAGGATAGACGAGGTAGTCGGTAAATGGCCTATAATATTTGAGTAGCTCTCATACCTCTCGCTGCTTGAGGCTTGACACGCGCACGATCACACTAGCGTTCTTGTGGTCGTGAAGCAAACTTAGATCCAAGAGATTACTCTTAGTGACTATATAGACCTTGCGAGAAGTATGGCTTCCGGGTTTTGTAGGTCAAGAGATGGAAAGGGGGATCTGCGAAGCTGACCTATGAACCGATAGCTATAGAGCTTGAAGGCGATCGAGAGGGAGAGAGAGAGAGAGATATTTCGGCAGTAATGGTAATGCGCTAAAATCCAACCAGAAACGGTTCCACTAACTACTGATGATGGTGGCTGAGTGGAATAAGCGCCGCTGACAGGGAAATTTTCGTACAAACCCACTACTCGTTTGCCAGGTTTCTTTACTTCTAGGCATATTATATGCAAGTGTTACGAGTAAGATTATCGAAATTTGTGGAGCGGTCGTTGTATATTGGTATTTTATGTAACATTGTTTTACCCCCGGTTTGGTTTTTGTTTAGTTTATATTCCTATATAAACCTTGTGTTACTGTTCTTTTGAATAAATCAAAATTTCACCTTCCTTATTTGTTCCTACTCTTCCCTTGACGATCAGACCAAAACTTTTCCGCATGGTAGATGGTAACCTCAACTTTCCATTTCATTTTATTTTATTGCATAAGAATTTCGCGCTGCCACTGCTTTAGGGCTACTTCGTGTCTACTCGCATACGTCTAGCTATCACAATTTTTGACAATGTAGAGATCGTGAGCTTATAATAACAAACATAAAAATGAAAAACAAATAGTCATAGTAAACCAGACGCAGTATACACGTGTAGGATCAATAATTTACCTGAAATACTCAGGAAAAGGGGAAAGCGTAAGTTCCGCGAAAGAGAGAAATAGAAGATATAAGTTCAAGAGCTCAGAAGAAATGTATACTGCAATCGGTTACACACACGTACACACATACACACACATACTGTAAAAACGGAGCCGCGTTTCCACGTAAGTATAAGCGTGGTATAACGTCGAGCGGAGGCAGGTGGGGAAGCAAGTAAGACTCTAATTGCTAAACTAATATCCGAGGCTTGCGAACGCGCGGCGCGCTTATTGGATTAAATAGGATCGTCGAGAGCGCGTTATTACCACGGGCCCTTCATTATTCACGGACTTAATAACTCACTACATGTCTTCTCTCTGCCTCTCTGTCTCTCTCTCTCTCTCTCTCTCTCTCTCTCTCTCTCTCTCTCTCTCTCTCTCTCTCTCTCTCTCTCTCTGCATACATGCAGAAGATGTTCACTAAAGCTTATTATGCATGTATATATAGATACCGACGGCAAATTAATTAACTAAGTAATAGATTGAGATGGGGTAGCTTGAGTTCAGTTCCGATGATAAGCGCTGTCGCTGCTGCTGCTACTCTCGGGTTTTCGATGTTATTTTAAGTTGAAACTACCGAGAGGTCGATTTAATTGCCGGAGAACTGATATTCTATAACTTTCGCTTATCGACACGGGAACACGTTATTTATGTAAGCAGTTGTTGACTTGTGAGCGAGTTTGAAACGATCAGAAGAAAGTGTAATCTGCGGCTGTAGAATATGTACTTGCATACATTTTTAAAAGATACTTAAAAGTTAAATGCATTTTGTGTTTAGTAATCATTTTTATAAAGTATAATTTAATGTTTTTAAACAGCATCATTTGGAAAGCTTGATTTTGTAGTCTAATATATTTATCCAAGTTAATTTTCATTGTAATTCTCCTTCATGCGAAGTCATTCATTCGAGAAAATTTCTCTATAAAACCATCAGTCGCAATGTTGTTAAGCATTTAATGATGTTACACGATATCTATTAGCGTTGCTATGGTTTTTGTTTACTAATAGTTCGGTAGTTAAAAAGAGAATAAAAAGTTAAACTGTTAATAAGTTGAACAAAAATGTATTCCAATTCAACAGAAATATTGTTATGTATGGATTTTAGTACGGAAACGTAGACATTTTTCTCACAATATTGTGTAACATAAAGTGATGCGAAATTAAAAAAATCTTTTATTTAATCATCAAGCTTACTATAGACTGCATTTGATGAAGCGCGTTGTCGAATGTAAAAAAGACCGCTTAATCGATCATGTAGCCTGGTGAAATAGAATATTGTATGTAGGTTATTGAATTTCAAAATCAAAGACTCCCACATCTGCACCTACTTATTACATTAGCTGATGGTTGTAAACTAAACGCTTGTGAATTAATTGATAAATAATAAAAAGAGAATCAGTAGAGTCAATTAAATGATAAACAAAAAAAAATTGTTGATATTATTCTAAACTCTGCTCGCAACGACTTCCGTAATTTCAATTGCTTATACATTGATGGCCTGGAGTATCTGCTAGCCATCAATTTTCACATTAAATATCTTTTTACACATGACTCAATAACATAGATACCTTCAACTTTGGTCAAATAAAGAAATAAGTCGATTTCTTACGCTGGTATCTTGAGCTTTCAATCTAATCTGTGCGAATGGCATTTTTTGAAAGGCACTTTAGCAATATGACCAATCTTCTTACAAATGCGACAATCAGCAGTACGGAAACAGCAATTAGTCCGATTATGATTGCCTTCACAGCTCGAGCATGGTGAAAGTTTCCGTTGAACGTTAATGCGTTGTTCTGCGCTGTTCCATTTTGTAGACAGCCATGAGTTTCTTGGTAACGATTTCGGGAGAGTCACGAGCTCTTTTGATAGAATCTGTTTGATTTGATTTGCAACTGAGTAGATAATAAAGCATAATAATGTGTGCATTAACTTTCTATAATTCAGCCGTGAATTTGTCAGGCTTTTTTAAGACAGTCTCATTACAAATGTTGCAATTGATAAGCCAGTGAAGTTGTTGCTTAATAAACATTCTATTAAGAAAAGTATCGTATGTACAAAAGACGGCTCTTTACTTTAGTCCCAAAAAAAAATTAGCTATAAACTCATCTGTCATTTGTACGACAGAATGGAATTTAATATTATCTGCGTGTTTGTTTTTAGTTAAGTCGAAATTTCCAATCGAAAATTCTAATAAGTCATCTTAATTTGTTCACAAATACGACTTTTCGGCGTATCCGGTGAAATAAAAAACTTTAATGCGTTACTTATTTATGCGTACTCACGCACAATGAGCATGTAAATTATTTGGAATATTACTAAACTCCAGATCACAATGTAATCTCTCGAAAAATTTTCTACTATCGTGCCATCGGATGAAAGATATTCTTCAAATTTTAAAAGCGGTGGTCTCACTTGATCAGTAACTGCTCCATGAGTAAGCTCAGTAACAATATTTGGAAACGATGCTTTTAAAGCTCGAGCAGCGATAAACATATTCTGTCGTTAAAAGTTTCTGGTGACACATCACCCATTTCGAGAACTTTTTATTAATCTGGAATTAATCTGATGCTAATCTGTTATATATGTAAATGATTAAATTAGAAATTAAATATAAACTTGTTTATTAACATTGTAACTTTTGTAATAAATCATTATATAACTTAGATGCAACCAGAAGTCAACTTAACTTAGATACAAGAAAACATAATACAAATAAACAATATAAAGTTGGTATGAATAATTGAAAATAATAATAGACTCGGATACAATATATTATACTTATATAATGTACAAAACCAATTAAAATAAATATTCCTAATTATACATTTTGGGTATAGAACTAATTAATCCAGCAAAATACTATAAGTATTAAGTTTTAGAATAATTTATATATAATTTAACTACAAAAAATAAATATATCAATTTTTAACCAATTGATGTATTAAATGGTTTGCGTTTTACTAAAAAAATTTACTAAATAAATTTTCAATTATATTTGATTTCCTTCAATTATTTTACTAAAAAGATCCATTAAAAAATAATAAATAAGCAAGTACGTTATTCTCATGTCATTATTTGTGTGTACATTCATTAATATTACTTTTATATTCTCAATCAATTCATACTTAAATTTGAAATTTTTATCTGCCTAAACTGTAAAAAAAATCTAAAATATTTATTTTACTTTCCATTAACCATAAATGCCGAAGACGCTTTGAACGTCGCACTGTATGCACAACTTCGCATGCAATGTGCATACAATAAATCCAATAAGGTTAGACGCGTACATAGCGCATTATGAATCTCTAGTCAAAATAAAAAATGCGATACTTTACATTTCAAAAAATTAATACGCTAACCTATATTTTGCACTGTAATTTAGCTCTGTATTTCTAAAACATGATTTTTCTCTAAAAAAAGTTTAGTGCACAAACTAAATACACTTTGAAATCTGAGAATCTCACAAATAAATCTCCCCGAAAACTTTTAAAAATTAAAGAGTCGTAATTATATCATAATAACCATAATCAAATTATTACGATTCACACGGTCTTATTAATAAAAAAAAACCTCTTTATAATTTTGTTGATTTATAGACTCCAACCTAATAGCCGATCGCGCAGTAGTTGTATTAAATAGCCACAGCGAAACGGATCTCATTTGTCGTCCACTACCTCAGTTGAACAAGGCGATCGAAGCGTGCCGATGGGTCAATCCACTTGGACATGGAATCAACGTCGACCGCGAGGGACGATACTACACAGAGACCGGAACCACGCACTGCAAACTCTCCATTCGCTGTAAGTCTTTCATGCTCAGTCAGGAAACCGATAATTTTTTCGAGCCACCTCGTTATTGTATTTTGTATGATTGGTACGAATCAATTTTCGACATTTCTATTATTCTTTTCGAACGAACAATTTTTTACATAACGGGTTAACATCGGCTGTGGAGGTTTGATTATTGGTTTTTGTGTTTCAATATATTGGTAATACAGTGACCTTTCCTTGAATTTTCTTTTCTTATTGATTTTTTATAAATTGAAATAAAAAATGTCGGAATTTACAGTAACAATAAGGTTTGAAATTATCTTATATATATTTACACTGTAAGTAATATATAGTATATGTTTAGCTAGTTTACCTTATAGCTTTTTTGAGTTTTGAGATAACCGTGATGATATTGCAAGTCAGTGACCGATACTAACCATCCTAACTATGAAAGGTCATTATTTTCTTTTTATAATAACGCAAAGAATGTGAATCATCCGTGAGAAATGATCATGAAAAAGAATTTGATTTGTACAAAATGGACGATAGGAAAAAAAATCAATTTGGAATCAAGTAATCGAATCTCCACATCTTCCAACTCGATTGCTTGATCACGGGAGTGAAAAGAAAAAGATGAGAGTCAACTTTGTCGATAACTTCGTTAGTAATTGTCGGCGTCAAATATTGGAGTCAATTTTGTCGCACAAGTTTGTGAAAATAAGGCGCCTAGAGCAATATTTTTCTTTGGGGGTCGAGAAAAAGAGAAAAGAAAAAGAAATGGAAGAATAGGGTATTCGATTGCTAGTGAAGAAAAGACAGAATCGATGCGAGAAAGTAAAACAGGCTCGCGCTGCAACTGCTGTCGTTTGTCTTTTGACGGGTCGTGGCGAATTGTTTGCCCCACCGATGTCTCTTCATCTTTTTTTATTTTCACTATCAGAGTTTACCCGAAATTTCATTTTCCGTGACTTGTTTGTCGTTCCCTCGGCGACTATATATCTATTGATAAAGATCTTAATGAAGCCAAAGCCTGAACTTTCGTTATCGATCGAATAAAGCAATCAGCGCTATGTGTAACCTGTTAATTGAATAGCTGACGTTGTAAAACGTTTCTAGAATAATAGTTTCGTTATTTTTTATTCGAATATTATTTTTCACTAAAGTTAATTACAGATATCTAAATTAGATTTATCTTTTGCTAATTAAACTAATCCGAAATTATTTTTTTGTTGGCTATTAAAAGATTCAATTAAATTACAACTACGATCATAATTCGATAATACAACTTTTCAGCTGATGTCAGACAAACATTAGTCACGATATTTTTTTATCATGTATAATGAGTGCAAAATAAGTTGTATTTATATTTTTACTATCGATATGCTCATTTCCAGTAACAAACTCATACCAAGAGGACGTCGGCAGTTGGTCATGTTACGTGCGTTTTGCCAACACTGAAAATGAAGAAGAGGTTGTGTGTATGAATGTCATCTATAATAGTGGCTTGGGAATCGCTAGTATCCTATCGATTGTAGCTTATGTCGCTGCCTTGATCAGTATCATTATTGGTGTAGTCATCTTGTACAAACGTAGACTTGCTGCATTGCGCGACCTTGAAGAGAAAATCATTGTTGAGAAAGATTGTTCCAAATTTCCATAAAAGGCTTCCCTGATCTTTCAATTTTATTTTTAAAAAAATTATAATACATATAAATTACTTCTGTAGATGTAATTCGTTGTAGTTACTCAGGCTCTATTTTATGGTATGTGTACTCAAATTAAAAATGATTAATTTAATGTGAGCCTTGTGTAAAATGGAAAGATGTTCAATAAATATTGAAATTGCTAAATATTTTTACTTACGTTACCATTTATAAAAATTTAAGATTTAAAAGTTATTACAGAGTAAATGTGAATGATGTATGTGTGGTTATTTGATTATTTTATAAAACAATGAAGATTTAGTTTTAAATTAAGGAATATACACTATAAATAAAGTTATATGAAAATATATTATGTCGAATATTTTATAAAACTTACACAAAATACTTTTCTTTTATACACTTTGAGACTTTTTTCTATGATGAAATAAAAAAATTTTGTTTGTATTCAGGTAAAAATAATTAATTTGATTGGGATAAAAACAAAATGAAAGACAATAATCTTTAAAAATTAAAATATTTATTGTGTAACGTAAAAAAAATACAAAATCAAAAAGATATTTTTTTAAATATATGCTCAATACTTAAAATATCTGTTTCTAAAATTACTTTCGAGTTTTGAAATCGTAATATTGAAATAATAATTATTCATGTACGAGTATAATTCATATTCATATTCACTGTTTTTCGTTAGATAATATACAACAAAATAATAAAAAATTATATATGTATTGTTTTTAAAGAGCGGACCAACAAATGTTTCTATTAACTCTTGCGTCGGTTTATTTGGAATTTGTCAGTCTTCATCCAAACCACTGTCTTGGAGACTTACATCTGGATGCACAACAATAATACTGACACTTTTATGCAATCTTTTGCAATTTAAATTATTATCTATAAAACTTAGAGATTCGTGCCTATCCAGCACACAAGATTTCAGATCTGACGTATATTGAGATAGCATTTCATTTTCTTGATTCTCGCTGGTGTCCGAACTTAGCAAGTCAATATCTGAAGAGCCATCATTGCTTTCGTCAATTCTGCCAAATATAACATTTTTGATTATGTTTCTCCAAAGATAAAATAAATTAGTATCTTGTATTTTTCCAGTCCATATGGGGTCATCAACTGCCGATCTAAAAGATTTAATTGTTGCCAGGTCTAAATTATTTTCAATATATTTTAACACTGATGATTGATCAACAACAGATTCTTCAGACTTTTTTTCATTCTGCACAATATTTTCAATGTTATCTTCTGGTTTTAATTTAATACAAGCTTTTATGTAACGTTCATTTGATAATGGATACAGTCCACATTCGTAAAAACCCTTTTCCAAATTGTCCACTACATTTATGCAATCCAAAGCCTCTTCTAATCTAGCTACAAAATCATTCTTGCCAATATTGAATATTCGTCTTTTTTTAACGAAAATTCTGAGGTTTCTTATAAACTCCCTCCTCAGTATGGGAAACAAGGTCATTTCTATAGCTGTCGTAGCTCGATGTGGACTTGGAGGTAAAATTGCCAATAAAATGTTGTGTTCGTCACAAAAATCGCACAGAACCTTTGTTAAGTAACTAGCCAATTCTTGATATAAAAATAATACTATCGGCAGCTGTATTCCATTATTTGTCAACCAAGAATAAAAATAATTTTTCACGTAATTGTAAAGCAGCTCAGCACTCATGTTTGCATTATCGTTAGCCTCGACAGACCAACCACGCCGTAGCTTGGCATCGCACATGTTCGAATCATCATTTGAATCAAACACAATCATCGGTGGCAGTACCTGCCCTGCAGCATTTGCAGCAATTAACACCGTTGGACCTTCTTTTACACACCATGTCGAGTTACTTTTTAAATGCAACGGTAATGATATTTCTCCAATGTTATATGTACGCGTGCGTGATAACCCATGTAAGTTTTCTCTCTTCAATTGAGTGTTCAAATTTTCAAACCACTTGTACGTACCATTAATACCGATTCCTTTCAACAACTGACGACGTGTTTCCCTTATCTTTTCGCACAACTTATGTCGACGAATAAAACCGTCAAACCAGTTTTTTCCAGGCCTTTTATTAACGAAAGGATTAGTCTTATTAGACACCTTTAGTGACAATACAACACTGTCACCTATTTGATTTCTACTAACTGAACAACCGATGGAACACATGTGTTCAATCCATGCAGCCAGATCTGCTTCATCCTTATCGTCCAAAGCAGGTTTTGTGCCGAGCCGGCTACCATGCTTGTTGTTTACTCTGGCATGAAGGGTCGTCCTTGGTATTTTGTACTTTCGACTGGTAACATTTAACGTAGCTCCCGCCTTTATGTCTTCCATGGCTTGCCTCAAGGTTTCTTCGATATACGTTGGCTGTCGTTTTCTTTTTAAACTCATTTTTATTTCCTGTGTATCTGTGCGTGTGTTCCTGAAACCAATAATGGCTGTTTAAATTTATTTTTATACTTTCACTAACTAACAATAACAAAAAAAACACTAACAACAACAAACAAAATAACTTAGAATGACAAAGTAAACGCTTTTCTCAATTCGTATATGTTCCTAGATAATAGATTCCTCATGATGTACAAGTCGTATTGTTAAAATCCACAAGAGCGCGTGCACGCGTGCGTAAATCTCTGACTTGGGAGTGGTGAGTGTCGGCCAGCGGTATGCTTCTATTGTCGTCCAACATATATATCACATCCGTCGCACAGTAAGGCCGAGAAACGTACAGAAGATAAGCGAGACATACCGACCCCATATCGTTTTCACCATACTACTGTTGGATTGTGTAATCGGTCGGCGTTCCTTCTTCGACGTTCTTTTCCATCTCCATATCAAGCTTGCCCCTCTTTTTACTCTCTTTCTCCCCCCCCCCCCCCCTCATTCGTCAGCCTACATGCAAGCTACTTTCTTGATTGATATGTCTTATGTTTACGCTTTAAAAGCTGTGAGACTGAAAATAATTGTAGTACAATAGATCAATAGAACTAGAAGCGTGAGAGACACCAAGAAGTTTGAAAATTTAGTTTTGATGCGATAGCGTAAATAGTAAAAATTATGAGTTAACAATATTTCAAATTTGAAAAAATTATCACACATAAATTTACTTTATTTATTAGTAAAGTTATATTACTATAGTGAAGTTTAATGTGAAGATTTACTGATGATATCACTAAATTGATTATTAGGTATAGAAATTATCTAAGCCCAATGATTGATAACATTTGTGTTTTCAATGTACAAGTTGAATAGCTAATATACCGACATAGCAATAAATGCCATTAAAATTTAGTTTACTCGAAGTACCCGCAGCAGCTTACGTTTCTGCATTCTCCATTCAAATCCTTGCTATAGGACTTCCAGCTCAAGAAGCATTGGCCAATGTCAATCGAAAATCGTTCAAGTATAACAAAAAACGCTCATCGCACACAGTCAATTTCAGAATCAGCTTGCGCTCGTTAATCGCGCATAATCCACGCTCTATATATCAGTAAGTCACGTGATTTGAAAAAAAAAGCGCAAGCGCGCGTATTCGAAAATCACTCGTGCGTCGCTGCCAGTAGCGAAGAGAGAAATGAAGAAAACGTCACGCTATAATGCTAATCTTGGCGTTCCATTATTCGCGGAGTGAAGCTTCGCATAGCGTAAAAATCGGAAGACTAATACCCGAGTGAGAGCGAGTCCTGCATCATACCTATATATCGTAATCTCCAACCTGCGTACATATGAAAGTGGGTCGACAGCGAATATACGCGTCTCTTTATCTCGATAATGCGTAGGTACGCTTGTGCCGCTAGCGCGCGTGGATTTGGATTTCTTTTACCGTTTTTATTTCCATTCGCCGGGCTACATATATGGCTTTTGATATAAAATGTAAGTTAAGCTTCGTTGATATGGCCGGGTTATTCAAATTTTAATCCTCGCCGTGTCGACATATACATAGTATTTTTTTCGCGATGCATACTTGAAATGAAAAGAGTTTTTGTCTTTTTAAAAGAAACATTCTTTTACCAACGAAAGCAAGCCCATTCAAGCAGTCTTTTTCTCTATTAGCCAATTCTTTTATTCATCCGAACTTAAAACGAAAATGGAGGTTACTTGGTTAATATTAAGCGACGAGTCTAATTAACAGATGCGCGTACTAGTTTGAAATTAGATGTTAGCCGACGCATGAAATGGCAAATCATAGGTACACGCAGAACTGCGACTTCTGTCATAGCAATCGTTGATATTTAGAGAGGGTACAGTTTCATTAACGTAAGTAAATATTGTACGCAGGTACATTTGGCATGCTAATCTTTATCCTTGGCTATACTCCTACCGACTAACTATAAGTACACCTACTCTGATATGTGCTTTTGACTAATTATTATAGTACGGCGTGTTTTGCTTTTATAAACGCTCGTGAATATTACGGCAGGATATATTCAAGTTTAATTAGATGCTGTTAGACTTACAAAAGCTCAGATAACGATCATTCAAAATCTAATTGCGAATAAAGAATTCAAGGTTAATACACCGCATCAAACGTAGAAATAATTGAAAATGAAAAAGGAATGGACTACGCACACGAAGTCACGAATCACAATTAACAGACGCGCGCGGGAATTGCATAGCGTAAATTTCGAATGAGGAGAGAGAGAATCTTATCATCAGTCGATTCTCTAGTACGTAGGCCATTCTCACGTTTAATCTAGTTCGCCTAGAAACGAGTCTGTGCACTCTCTTCTGAATGATTTTATCGTGCTTGCGGAAATGAGGGAGAGCTTGAATATAATTCTAGAAATACGTCTGCTGCAGCCAAAGTCTTAGCTTTCAAAATAACGAAAGAGTGCAAATATTTGTCTCGATAAAGTCCACTTTTAAAGTAGTCACTTCGTTCTGCTGCCTTCTAGAGGAAGCTTTGTTTTCGCTTTCTTGAGACTTTTTTTTATTTTTAGATATTTTTTTTGTTTTTGACATAATATATTTAAGTTTTAGTTAGAGTAT